GTCTGTGGATGTATTAAGGTGTTAAAGACACACTGAAAGGAGCTGAACACAAATGGATATCATAATTTTTAAGATTTTAATTTGTAAAAGCTTTTTTTTAAAAACATTTAGCTTGTGCTTCTACTTCACAGTTTTGCATGACCTTTTGTCCCTAATAAATGACACTGAATTTGACAATAACAATTTTAAAAAACTTTAAAAAAAAAAAAAACTTTGTGAGGATTTTTTTATGAAATTTAAGGCAGCTTAAATGATCAGACATGAGAAAGCTGTTCTCCTGCATAAAAGACATAGTTAATTATCGACCCTGGGGTGTACGGAGAGATGTGGTTTATTAACTCTGGTCTCAGAGAAAACGCCAGTTTCCTCCTCTTTTCAGTCTTAAAGCCTCGTCCTGTAGCTGCTCCCTGACATCGCTTCAAGAGTCCTGCTTCTTCTAAATACATAAAAAAAATCTTTTCATGCAAATATCTAAAGCTGAAAAACAAAAATCAACAGCAGCCACATTTGCCTTGTATCTGATCCAACACAGCCATCACTCATCATCAAGTGTTGATTCCTAAGGCCCTATGACACTTGCTGTTTATCATTTTAAAAGAGGCATGAAGAGACATGGTATTCCTGAAGCACCCTCATTGAGTGCTCCTTTGTGTGGCAGCGCTACGTGTGTTGACTCAGACTTTGCACAGTCACACTTGGAAAACCTGACTCTCCTCAATTTCAGGAATTTCCTGATCCCCGCAGGGCCTCCTGGAGAAAATCATCTGCATGCTGCAGCCTTTGCGCCTCCCTTCACCCCCCCACACACACTCTCAGCTGGCCTGCTATTGGGAAGTTCCAGGTTAATAACTAAACTGAGGACACATGCTTGAAGAGTCAGCAGGGCAGGGCAGATGTACTTTTTGGACTGCTAGATTGTAGACTGTTCTGTATGATCTGAAACAGAACAAAACATTAACTCAGCATAAACCTTTCAATAATTATATGTTCAATGCTATAAAGAACTTTTTTTAGTGTCATTGGATTAATATAGCTTTAAGATATTGCTTAAGTTGCTTATATTTACAAACTGTTCTCTTAACCACAACCAACATGACTCATGACAGGCCTGTCACATTAGACTAAAGTTTCACTACAAACAAATGTGGCTTTTAGGACTTCCGGCCCCTGGCTACACCTTGATTGTAGTTTTCCTACGCCGGCTTGTTCTATCTTGTTGGTCTTGTTGACGTCAGAAGACTTGCTGCTGGGAGTGCTATTACTCACTCTGCTCAGTATTCTTCTTGAACAGCACGTACCAGCGCATCCTTCTTCTTTCCCAAACAGGAAGGCCTCGCCAAGACGGTTGCCAAATCTTCTGTTACACCCCAATGCGGTGGAGTTTCCTTAAGCAGACGCAGCAGCCTGTATCTGGTCTAGTTCATCTTTTTTTCCTTCTAAAGTTCACTAACCCCATCCTCCTAGTTAGTGATCATACTTTTGAACACAAACAATATATATATATATATATATATATATATATATATATATATATATATATATATATATATATATATATATATATATATGAAACTGGGATTGTGGAGGAGAAAAAAATGTGTATCTTTGACACCATTTCAACAGTTGCCAGAATAAATATTGGGATTTAAAGTCCAGAATTTTAAAGCCAAAGGCATATTTAATAGATAAAATACACGAATACCAGAAATTAGAGGAAAATGTTACAGAAAGTTTACAATTTTTTTTTACTTATGTTGAAAAAGATGTTTTCTTTCTGCAAAACACAATGAGCTTGTTGTGCAAACACGGGTAAAAGAAAAATGAAAACAGGAAAGTTTGCCAAAACACACAAGCAAACATTTCTTCTGATGTCAAGAGGTGGTTCTTACGGCTCCACAGTGCCACCTGGTGGCGAGTTTTCAGCATTACACTCTGAACTTCAGGAAGATATATTTTTTTTCTCTCAAATTAAATGTTTACTTTTATGAGTATATTAAGCTTGCATTATTTTCCGGTTTGTTTAGTTTCGTTTTTAGACAATGAGAGAGTCAAAGCAAATAAGGGTTAGTCGTAAGAAACCACCAAAGGTTTGGGTGTTTATTGGTCAGAAATCTGCTGAGCAGGAGAATTAAATCTAAATACAGGAAGGAGATGCTGTTTCTATGGTTTCTTTGCTGTTAGAAAAACAACAAGAATCTAATCATATACTCAGTGTGTTTCTAGGTATAAAGCCTGAGGGGGAAAATTGTCTAAGTGATAAAGAAGAACATATCTGTAATCCTGAGGCGAATGATCTGATAAAGCCTGATAAAGATAGCGATAAGAAAAACGATAAAAATCTTCATTTCAGGATCTTTGAAGACTTTTTTTTTTCCAATCAGGTCATAGCCTAATTAATTTTAAATGCTAGGGTTTGACATGTTGTTTCTATGATGTTCTTAGCCTTTCCACAGCTTAATTTTGTAAATATTTGATTAATGAAAAATGTAAAAACATGAATAATATGTTAAACTGATAGAATAAAGACACAATGATTAGGCAAAGACTTCTACTTTTTTTTTATGACAAACCTCTCTGGTTTTGACATTTCTAGGTTATTCACACTATGGGTGCTTCTAGACAGGGGCCAATGGGGGCCAGGATCAGGGGACTGTACTGAAAACATAATGCAAAAAAAATAATAATAATAATCTAATGATGATATATGCTGGAACAGAGTGACTAATACATCCCTAGGACCTATTAATTTTTTTTCTTTACAGTTCTGTTTTTATTATGATTTAAAAGTCAAGGCTATGGCTTTAGTCTTGTTGAGAGAGGATCAGTTTTTATCTGCTTGGTGTTATGTGTGTGTTCAAAATGACATTAAAGTTTGTCCAAGTTATTTTGAACCAAAATTGGGAAAAAAAATGCTCTAATTTGTTAAAGCTGAATATAACATATTTTACTCATGTGGTCATTTTTTTATTCAAATAACTCAAAAATATGTAATATGTCTGAATTATGAATTGATCTAATATTCTATTACCTTATTATATAGATATTTGTTTAGCCACTAATTATTTTGTTGCTTTTCTTTTCATGGTAAGAGATATTTTTTTAAATATAGAGTAAATAAAATTAAAAAAATTCAAACCGAAAATGGAAATGCTCAAATTTTAACATCTAATTTTAATTATACACTGCAAAAACATTCTAAAAATTAGTAAACATTTCTTAAAATAAGTGTATTTACCCTTAAGTTGAATAGGAAAATACGATGATCTGCCAATGGAATCAGCGTTTTTACCCTTAAAATAAGAAAATTAGATATTATGCACTTGAGATAAGAGACTGCAGTTGTTTTGTCTTATTTTAAATGTAAATTGTCTTATCTTATTGGCAAAGTGTCTCACATACCTGCTCAATTCAAGAAAAATCCACTTATTTTAAGAAAAAAACAAGTCTTACTTAGATATACATTTTTTGCAGTGTATGGAATGACATAGTGTAGAGCCACAAGTAGCTCTTCGGTTCTGCAACTCCTAATATATTTTAACTGATAATCTTTCTTGTTTCATGCTTTCCTGTTTCTGTTTTCTGCTTGGAGGATGGTTCACTGCAGTTTGATCTCATCCCTTCACCATTCATCATAGTGTCCATCAGAGGGGCTTAAGCCATCTATAGTTTAAAGAAGCAGAACTAGACTCCAAAACATGGCAACAACCCAAAGTAGTATGAGGAATCAGGACTAGTGGAGAATAAGGAAAAGTAATCAAATCCCAGATCTTGATTTTACTGAGATAATTCAGGATAAGCTCCATATATGCAAGAAAAACATCTGATAGTTGAAAGTAAAATCTGGTTCAGAGTTCCTACCGATACGAGAGGCAGGCAGGTGGTTATCTCAGAGGGCAAACTCACTATCATTGGGGCAAAGGCATCAAATATGCAGAGGTGGGTAGTAACTAGTGACATATACTTGAGTAACTTTTTGTAAAAAAAAAAGTACTTTGGTAGGTGTTCTTTATCATACTTTTTACTTTTACTCTAGTAACATTCTTGTGAGTGTTGCTATGTGTACCTGACAAACATTTCTGGTTACTTATCCTATAAGTAATGAGACCAATTTGGGATCAGGTAGAAGTACAATAAACTTTATCCTTTCCTGACACGCATGCATTCCCTACCATAAGGATTGGTTACATTTATGTTGAAAATTTGGATTTTAAAAATAAGTTTTTCTTGGCTGAATTTGTTACTTTGTAATCATGTTCTTGATTTTAAACGTTCAAATACCAGAATGTGCACATAACTGTCCGTTAGCCATCTTACTGAGGGATTTTTTTTATTTTTACTTAACTGAAAAAGCTTCACGGATGGAAAGCGAAACGTCTTCAAACTTGGAAACAAAGTCCAGTGGATTGTTTTTATTTTCTTTTTTTGGAATGACTATAACATGGATGACTGAGAATCTTTACCAGAGGATTCTTACTAGACTAATTTTCATAGATAACTTTGTTCTATTTTTACTTGAGTTAAAATTAATCTTGAAATAGTGCTACTCGTAGTTTAATAAAAAATCTTTAGTTACTTTATCCACCTCAAATACACACACAAAAAAACATTTTTCTAGATCTATTTTTATGTAAAAGAAGGTTAATTTCTGTTAACCAAGTAAAAACTAATGAATTTCACCAAATAAAATATTACCGTTTAAGTCGTTTTTCTGTTTTTTTAAATGGATAAAATGCTGAATTCCCAAAAAACTGATAAATTTGTTAAAGATAAGCTTGGAAGAGGCTCTTCACTTCTTGCACAAGTAAAGTTATTTAAATATTGCATATCATTCAGTCCACCATTAATATAGCAGTAATCAGAAATATATCCTTAAATTGATCATTTGCATATTAATAGTCTTTTATATCAACAGATTATATAATAATGCTTTCCAATATAAGCTTCAAGAAGAAACAGGACACCTTTTTTTGTTTTCTTTATTTAAAAATGAAAACAAATGTAAATAAAAAAATACGCTTCTAAGCTCAGCATACGTATAGAAAATGGGAAAACATGGTGCATTTACTGCACAAGTGCTGAGGTTTAATCTGTTAAAGCAGAAAAAGAACTCGGCACACTAAAACCTGATCTGAAATATATATATATATATATATATTTATATATATATATACTTATGTATAAATTTAATAAGGATGCGTCCTGTGGAGACGACGTTCATACATTCTAAAGAAAGGTACAGCTGTCAGACAAAGTGTTGAACTCTGTTTCGTCCCAAAACGAAGGGTAGCAGCTTAACTAATCTCTTATTTGGACAAACCTGTCGAGTCACAAACGCAGCATGCTTTACACAAAAAAAAACACCAATCATACAGAAGAACACGGCCAGCTCAGGCTCACACCATGACACAACGACTAATCAGAACAGTGCATCGTTTTCATCCCTGTGCTGGTGTTTGGTTTATTTGATTTTTTTTGGTTAGTTTCAATAATCCCTGGTCCCACACTCTACCTCAGAGACCCACACGCACCTCTCAATAAATTAGAATATCAATGCAAAGTTCAATCATTTCAGTGATTCATCTCACAAAGTGAAACTATACTGATTCATTGCACACAGAACGATATTTCCCAAATATCCCCTTCTGTTGTCTTCTGGGGAGTATGACTTTGGAGTTAATGACTCAAAATTCTCAGAATATTATATTAGACAAATTAAAAAAAGGATTTTTAACACAGAAGTGTTAAGTAAGGACTACACAAAGGAATATTTGCTGTCTTGTAAAGTTACTGGTTAGCCCCAAAACAGTGTATTTATGGAGGGAAAGTTAGGTGAAAGGATAAACTGTGGTAGAAAAAGGTGCAGCTTTGCCCCAGGATGGCCGCCCGCTGCTCCTAAAGAGGGAGGGTTACATCTAGAGGTACATTTCTCCAATTTGAGGTCAATACAGTTTAATTAATAATTAATGACTGCCGCTGCAGGAGCTTTAAGAGCCACGGCACACAGGCAGAAACAGGCGTTGGGCTCCAACATGAAAAGCTTTTTTCATTTCTATTCTTAAAATCATCTTTAGTCTCTTTGTAATCTGATTATCTAAATTTTTCCTTTTTTATTGGTCTGTAAGCTATAATGGTATAAAAATAACTAGGAAGGAACAGTTGGAAAATATCGCTGTGTGTGAGGAATCCATATTACTTCGCTTTATGAATCCATTAACCGAAGTGAACATTTTGATATTTTATCTAAGAGATGCACGTGTAAAGGACATTACACAACTGAGTTATTATTTTTATTATTGCTGGAAAACAGTTGGGTGAGTGCTACTTTGCTCTCTGAACTTTTTACTCGTTTACCATATTGAATATCCCCAGGTATGGGTATAAAATCTACTGTAAAGCATCTAAAGCTGTGTCGTCTTCCATCGCAGGATAAAGCCGATCCTAGAGGAGACACGTCGCCGTACCCCTGCCGCTGCTTCAGGCATTAACAAGGAGCTACCAGTCAGCATCCCGTTAAACTTACGGTAAATGTTGCGTCAACGGTTCAAGAAAATAAAAAGAGCACACTAAACCTGCCTAGCAGAGACAACTAGTGTGTAGATATCGTTGGAAACCCACACTTTCATTTATCTACTGGGAGCAAACTGGATTCTTTGTAGTCTTCAGAACTTTGTTTAAACAAAGCTTCTTTTTTAGTGACGTGTTTTTCAGTCCAGCTTAATCAAAACATCATCATCAGTCTGCTCAATTAATCGAGTTTAGGATAAAAAAAAAAATGGAACAACATTCAAAGGTGTCATTTTGGTAAATAAGAAAGAAGATGCATGTAAATTAGGCAGAGGTCAGAGGTCACTGGTCCCAGGTGTTCAGGCCAGCAGTCCCAGTGCAAACCCTTTCACCTCAGCAGAGCAACGTATGTTTTATGGTGAGTCTGTTTGGGTCGGCGCGCACGTGTTTGGGATGTGGCACCTTAGAGAAAAGACAAAAAAAAAAAGAACCCAAGGCCCTGAGCGTTTGGAGATGGCATAAACACAAAGAAAGTTTGGGTAAAGAGGCAGCTGACCATTTACAGCGTTATCACAGGTGAACCTGAATCAGCCGAGCGCCAAAGCATCACCGACCGACCCTCAGAGTCGAAGCAGGTCGACCTGCCAGCCACGTGCGCTTTGCGACATCATAGATATCCAGAAAAAAAAAAAAAAAGAAAGGAAGGAGGAAGGACAGACATCAGTGGAAATAGACGCGATAGCAGACATAAGCACTGAGAGCCAGCGCCGTGCACAGGCACACGTGGGCTGTAAGAGGGGGCCAAAGCCCCGGCGCAGGACAGCCCCCCTTTGGCTGCTCCGCTCCCTCAGACTTCTCCTCCGTCGCCTCTTGATGCTGGGATTTGTTCAGAGTGCCTGAGGTCAGATCCTGCACTCCCACATGCCCGTGTGGCAGATCCCCTCCTTCAGGAGGACGCTCCGGAGCAGCTAGGTTTCTTTTTCGCAGCTCTGTGTCGTGTGAAGACCTGGATGAAGAAACAGGATGAAAGAGGATTAGATCAAGGTTCTAGTTTCCCTTTAAGGCAAACCTTCCCTTTATGTATCTCTACCAGGTTCTACGATGATTTTAATCTGACCTCATCAGGACAAAAATACAGATTTAATCTATGTTAACCACTTCTGTCTCTTTATCAGTCTCTCAAATCTTTGGACCAATTCTGTCCTTTTTTCTGTGCATTTATTTATTTTATGTTGATTTTTTTTCTTTTTTAAGTCCCAAGACATCATTTCAATTGCTATTTTTCACCTGCTTATATTCCTTTGTATGTTTCTAACGCTGCTGTTGAAGACTCTGTTTGGCTCCATGTTTGACTCCATAGCTCTCAGCGTACAGATGTACTAAACTCAATAAGGTGCTGCAGTGTTTGTGCTGATTAAGTGCACATATCTCTACGTCTCTTAAATGGCATTACTACGGAAGAGGATTAGAGCGACTGGAAAAAAAAATTAACAGATTTTTAAATTTTATTTCAGTTTAGTATGGGAATTCTGACTTGATTATTCTGACAGAATTCTGACTTTTTTCTCAGAATTCTGACGTTAATCTCAGAATTCTGACCTTTTTCTCCGAATTCTGACTTTAATCTCAGAATTCTGGCTGAATTCTGACTATAAAAAAAGTCAGAATTCTGAGATTAAAGTCAGAATTTTGAGATTAAAGTCAGAATTCTAAGATTAAAGTCAGAATTCTGATAAAAAAGCCAGAATTCCGAGAAAAAAGCCAGAATTCTGAGGAGAAAAGTCAGAATTCTGGCTTTTTTATCAGAATTCTGACTTTAATCTTTTTTTCCCCATACTAAACTGAAATAAAATCAGTTAACTTTCTTTTTTTTTTCCCAGTGGCCCTAATCTTCCGTACATTACTCAAGAGGTCTTGATGCAATTTATATATAATTTTAGTCATAAATTAAAGCTCTCTCCTTCAACCTTTCTAAACTCCTGCCTTTATTTAAGCGTTATTATTTAACATGGTCTGAGGCTCAGATGGATCTCCTCGGTCTTTGCACTAACTTTGTGCTCATGGTGGAATTCTAGGGACTCTTAATAATCTGTTTATTCGTTTTTTTTTGTGTGTGAAATTTCCTTCTAAGCCGTCTCAGATTAATGTGAAACAACATGTTCAACATATTTTGTCAACCTGCCTTTATGTTAATATGGTTTTAAGAAGCAAACTGTCAAACTGCTGCTTTTTAAGAGGCGGTTTCTGTTGTTAATGAGCAGTAAATAAACCACATGTGAAGCAGCATCAGGCTGAAGCAGGTTTCTTAAATCCTATAGAAGGAGCAAAGGGTTTGCTGTGTTTCACGCACAGTTTCTTCATTTTGGTTACAGAGAACTTAGAGCAGATTCTTAAACTGAATGTTGTTTATCAGAAGTGTTAATTTTAAACTTCATATTTTAAAACATGAATAAAACATGAATATTAAGTTCTTCAGATTATAGAGACCAATACCCATCTACAATATTCAACCCCTTATTTCCTAAAATGATCAGTAGAATACTCATCATTCATTTCAATTCATCACCATGAATTTTCAGTAACAGAAATCAGCATCGTCATTCCAGATGACAGCCTTCCTCTTCCTGTATGACATGAAGACATTCATCTGAACCACGTTTTTTTTTTTTTTTTTTTACTTCAAGTACGGGAAGAATCAGTTTAGAGCTTCTAGTTAAAAAGCTGCAGGATTGAAAGTACTCGTTTCCTATAATTCCAAATTTGACATAAAGGCTTTGAGCTCGTGGATGAATGAATCTGTGTGATATAAAATATCACTCATTGAACAAACTGACCTGCTTCTAAAATCTCCAATATCAGCAAACTGATCAAAAATGTTGACATAACTCATTGGTTAATAAGAAATTGATCCGTTGTTCTCATAACTGATCTTTCTATTATCCTCTGCTTAAGTAATATACAAACATTTCCTATCATTCCAAATAATAATAACTAATAAATGTATTAGGGCGTCAACTAACGATTATTTTGCAAATCCACTTCTCTTTCAATAATGTTTTTGCTTAATCAATTAATAATTTAAGAGCCAAATGCTCCTTAAAGAAGATTTTTTAAGGAATAAATTGGGTGAAACTAAAACTTTTCCCACTAGAGTTTTGGATAGAGCATATTAACAGATGTAAACATTATTATTTTTTTTATCTTAAATGCAAAATATTATATATTTTTTAACAATGTTGGTATAATTACTGCTCTAAGTGGGTCACTCTGTCAGCTAAAAGCATGTTCTAGAGTCTTTATACTCAAATGAATCATTGTTTACTAAATTAGTTGATTATTTCAATAACTGATTAATCACAATTGATCTGATTAATTGTTTCAGCCCTAAAATGTATGTATGATTTATGGTGTTTAATTATAACAGGTCGGTATCATATTGTAGATGATAAAGCTGCATCAGGACACCCCCAATGAAAACATTTGAGGACCTTTTCGAACACAGAAAGTGAAGCATTTCTGTAGCAGCGAGCCGTCATTCTGTAACGCCACTTAATCAGATGTCGCCTCAAATCTAAATTCAGACATAATTACAGAGAGTTTACATCAGCAGGGACATCAGGTGCCACTTCATGGCAGAGGGACTGAGACAATAGACTCTTCCTGGTTGTTTTCCACCACGTTAGACAGAAAAAGAGGTTGTTGTATGAACAAAACTAAAAAAAAAAAAGAACAGTTAGTTTTAATGTTCTTTGAGTCAGGAATTACTAAAACAAAGCATTGCAGGTGCATCTCTACATCATCAGAGTTCATTCAGTTTATTAATTCTGCTCAATATTTTAAACAAAGTTGAATAAACTTTATTTTTGTTAAATATGAGTATTCCACCTTACAGCCTAAAAAAAAAAACTATTTAGCTACTTATACTTATAAATAGCACATAAACCAGGTAAAAATACTCTCCATAATTTATCCATAAGTTATCCTGAAAGGAAGTGGGCTGATCCAGGAATGATGTGTTCCAGCATTTAAGGGAAAGGTTGGAAGCACAAAGTGTGGTCGAAAAAAGTGATCAGAATTCAAAAGGACTTTTTCAAGGTGTGGATGAAGTCTGTAACCTCTTTAAGAAAACATTTCTGTTTGCTACAGGCAATAAATCACACATCAAAGTGGCGTCACAAGTTTTCTGATGCGGTTTTCTAAACAATAACGGCAGACTACAGTAGCTCGGTTTAGCTCCTGTGTTGTTAAACTGGACTGACCTAAACTCAAAGAGAATGTTTGATGAATTGTCAAGAGGAAGATCGAGGCAAACAGCTCACCTCATTAACGCCATGCTGCATTAATAAAGGAATTTTTAAACGAACAGACATTTGCTTGGAATGTATCACAACTTTATTTAGTCAGCTGAAATGAATTAATTTCCCCAAAACATTGTAATTTATTGAGCTCCACCTGCTCAGTGAGTCTGAAATGTGACTCTATACGACTGTAGATCTAAGCAGAGCTGCAGAAAACTGACAGAGCAGTGATCAGCTGCATCTCTGCTGGCAGGCTGGTGGCCTGGCCGTCTGTAAATCACTCAATCTATGAAAACAGGTGGACCTGGAAAAACGAGTGTTATAAATGAATGCAACCTGCTGGCGCTCACGCAATTCAGTTCAAGGAAACAATCTAAATCAGATGGAAGATACGAGGCAGGTGACTGTGGATGATTGTATGAAATCTATTAGCTTTGTCAAAAACCAGGTAAAGTGGTTATAAAAGGCTGCAACCATGATCATTATTTTAATCGATTTCTCTGTTGTTTATTTTTTAGATTGATCCATTAAAAATAGGATAGAAAAGGCGACTTAAAGAGGTTTTTTATAAAGAATATAAACAAGAATATAAGCCAGTTAAGGGGTTCTGGACAGTTTATTCACAGAAAAAACATTTTTTTATATTAAATGCACAGTTAGTGCTCTGACTGGGTTGCAGAAATGGTCATTTATTGTAACGCTATCCTGATAAAGTGCTAGTTATGATCATTTAGATTTTTCAACTAACAAATAAATAAAAATTACTTATGATACAAAAAAAAAAACTAAAAAAAAGGGTAAGTTTTGAATTTTATTTTCAATGTTTTTCTTCCTCTTTTTCCTCCATTGAGGTATTGGCAAATTCAAAGGATATGATTAAATGTGGTTACTAAGGGATGTTTAGTGATATTAATCACACTTCATTACATAACTGGTGTCCTGAAGAAACCTATTTTGAATTTGTAGATTTTTCCAAGAATGTTTGTGATTTTTTTGGCCCCGGTTGCTGTTGCAAATACAAGTAACACAAGAACGACCTCAAAGAATTAATTAAGAGTGTTTTTATCATCATTTTTATCAAGATAGAACCACAACATTTCACAAGATTTCAAGGCCATATTGCTTAGCCTTTTTGTTTTTCAGGAATCTGCATACTTCAGTTAACGTGTAATCGATTACTAAAATAGTTTTACGATTAATCATGATTCTTTCTGCCCTAAAAAAAAAAAAATCTCTTACCCATCATTAGCATGGAAATGAATCAGCCTTCAGTCCTACCCTACCAGTTACACTCACTTTCCTTCCCCATTCATCAGTTGGATTAATGTACGGTTGGATAAATTAATGAATGATCTATAGTCCATCTATGTGTAGAAATAACTAAAGTTAAACAATCTTCATCTATAAAGACATATGTGCCCATTTGCATCCTGCATAATACGAAGTTTGGATCAATTCCCTTGTTAATTTAACCAGGCAGCCAATGTTAGACCTGCTTTCTACTAATTATAGTCCTCAACTTTTAAATGTACATAAAGAGAACAAGTGCTAACTGCTCAAAAATCTCAAAAAGTCATCATGGGCACATATTCCGGCAAATCAATCTCAAATGTAAAGCTGCTTACACAGTCTGTTTATGGTATCATTTTGATTATTTGTCAGTCATAGGAAGGACTGCTAACATCCGAGTTATTCAGTCGACATTTACTGACACCCTCCACAAGCTACCAAAACGTGCTTTGGAAGAAAACGTTGCATATTATAACGTATATAACTATTTACATGGAAAGTTCAGAGAAGTAAATCTAATGTTAATCAACTTCAGTAATGAAACCCAAAGCATCAGGCTTAGAGTCATTTAACAAAGACGGATGCATTTTAGTTCATTTTAATGATTTTGGCTCACAGCCGTAGATGAATAAAGGCTAATTCATATACTTTTTTACAGGAATGTAGGGTTGTCACGATACTAAACTTTTCAACTCGATACTCGATACTCGATACCATTTTCGATACCACAAGGATAAAAACAAAGACTCCAAAATTCTACAGAAATATTTTCATTAATAAATAAAATACAATAAATAAATGCAATAAACAATAAGAACAATATTTTGAGGTTGTTTGCTGTGCACAATATTAAGCAAGCTTGATAAAAAACTTAAATTAAAATTAAGTGTTCCTTCCTTGGCTATGCTTTGCACACATAACAATGACACTAGCCAAACTGGTTAAGAAACAAAACACTGTGGCACTGTATCGATACTTTTAAAAACGAGTATTGTATCCGGATACAACATTTTGGTATCGATACTTTTTTGAGTCTCGATACTTTTGACAACCCTACAGGAATGTTATGTTATACCCACATGAATGCTAACGTGATGGGGAAGACAGCTGACGCAAAAGATCAACTAAAAAAGCTGGCTGTTAATTAATGTGTGAAAATAAGAGGGGAAAGCTGCAACCATTAGTGGAATGTAAAGCAAAGCCACTTTAAAGATTTAGGGGAGATTTCAAAAGGTGTCTCTGTTTAATGACATAAAAAAGGGATCCTGAAATATCCCTTAAAAGGGATTAAAAGGGATCCTGAAATATCTTTTGATGAGACATTATTCAGCATTTTAGATGCTTACCCCTGTTTGGGAATTTCCACACAACGGATGACGTCTACATTATCTGGGAAAAAAGTTGGCTGCATCCTGCCGTTGTGAGGGTCCCTGGGAGGAGGAACAGGAGGGGGCGGGGTGAACTCTGGAGGATCGTCTTCCTCTTTAGAGAGCTCTTTCCATGACTCCTTAGGAATAAAAAAAGAATAATATATGATTTAAAATGTTACCCCCTTCTGCCAACATTATTAGTTAATCTGAGAACAGATGCTCCGATTAACATCAGGAAGTGAGAAAAACAGGAGAGGAACCTGGAGAGACGTGTCTCCTTTGATGTACTTGGCACCTTCAATGACGGCCAGGTAGGAGAAGCGAAGCTGATCTGCAGTTTGAATCAAACCCATTCGGTAACGCCGCATCTCCAGCAGCACGTCACGAATTCGTACTGAAGACGGGTCTTTGCGGAGCGACATCTGCAAATAAAAGCCAAACACGGTTTGAATTTCACAGATTATTTCATCAAATCATTTCAAATCAAGCTTTCTTTTTGAGTTTATAGATCAAGTCTGCACCAACCAAGAGAAGGCAGGTGTCCACCAGACAAAAGGTCCCAGAACGACCAATCCCGGCACTGCAGTGCACCACCACAGGCCCGTGCTCTGAATTCAGACAGCCCGACTCTCGCACCTTGAAGAGGAAGTTGAGGAAGGATGCGGGAGACTCTGGCACCCCAAAGTCAGGCCAGGTGGTGTAGTGAAAATGTAAAATTTCACGGGTCTCCTGAGTCTGAACGGACAAATTAAAAGGTAAGAGAAAAAAATGAAAAATATTAAGCCAGGACTTTTTATTTAAGTCCTTTTTTTTTTTTTTACTGAGAACTGAAAATAGCTGCAAAGAAAGTATGCAGTTTTTAAATTTGAAACTGAAAAAATGCGGATAAGAGAAGCGAAAAGAAGGAAATCCGTTTCATATGATGTTTCAGTTCTTCAGTCCTGATCAGCATAATTTTTTTTACTTTACGGGAACAAACGAATAAAAAAACCTAATGTTTGTGGGCTGCAGTCACACACACAATAGCTGCCTTTAACAGAGCTAGCACTCAGCTTCAGGATCCTTTTTGTAACAAACCATTGATTGTGCCTCTTCACCACCCCAACAGAGAGAGGAACAACTCACAGATAGATTTTCCAGCTCCAGCTGACGGACCGTGTAATACGACTTGATGTCCTCCGAGACGAGAGTGACCTTGAAGTTGGTATCTTCAAAGATGGCGTCTTTCTCCTCTTTGTGTGGCCAATATTGGGCACATTTAATCTAAACCCAAATTAGAGAGCATGTTATAGACGAGGAACGTGATGTAAAGTAAAATTCAGAGATAAAGAGATAACTAGATCCAGCAGCAGGGGCTTACAGAGCCTTTCTCTACGACCCGGTTCAGCATCACCACACCGCGGGTCCGCTGCTCCCACACCATCTCCCAGAAATGACCGCATGTACTTGGAAGGGGTCCCTGGACAGAAAAACAGAAGAGAAAACATTAGATTGAAAGCTTTAACTTCTCATACACTGGAAAAACGATCCAGAAATAAGTAAAAATGTCTTAAATTAAGTGTATTTACCCTTAATTTGAGTAGATAAATGAGATAGTAACAAGTATTTTTACTCTTATAATAAGATAATTAGATAATGTTCACTTGAAATAACACAATGCAATTGTGTTTTCTTATTTTAAGTGTAAATTTTCTTGTTCCATTGGCAAAATGTCTCTTTTACCTCCTCAATCCAAGGACAGATGCATTTATTTTAAGAAAAAATTACTTATCTAGATTTCGATTTTTTCCAGTGTATGGAAGCGCATTGCATTCCCCTGGAAAATTCAATTTCATTTTTTATAATAAAAAGTTTCATTTTTTTTTTCCTGAATTAATAACATATTTTTAAATTAAAAAAAATTACAACATTCTGTTCTTCTGAAAACATTTTTTAAATAAAAAATAAATGTTTTTCTGAATGATCAAGATCATTTTTTTACCGTAAAAATATTTTTTTTATGTTTTTCTGAATCAATGAAATATTTTTTGAGAAAAAAAAATTTAAACATTCTGTTTCTCTGAATGAATAAAATATTTTAAATAAGGAAAATAAATCAAAACATTCTGTTTTACTGAATTTACAAAGCATACTTTTTTTAATTACAAGATTATCTTAAAATTAAACTTAAAAAGCCATGTTTTTTTTTTATGAACCAGCTAAACTCTCAATAACTAAGAGACAAGAGAATTTCCAAGTATCTTAATCACAAAAGAACATAAAAACAAATTAAACTCAAAGAAACGGGAAGGAAAAGCTGCTTAGAAATCTGAAAAGCCAACAAGAGAACATCAGTGAAATAACAGCAGCATTTTTTCCGTAATTCAGAAAAACAGACCAGATTCTTGTTTTTCTAGGTGAATGAATGAAGGCTTCTGTATTCTAGAATAAGAGTTAACACTGTATAATGACAAACACAGCCTTCCTCTGCATTTAGAATTACATTTCTTACTGGGCAGGTTTTTCATGTTTAGTATTTATTCTTATAAGAGATCATAAGATATTTTTTAAAGAAGTTGGATCACTGAGAGGTTGTTCAATGATTTTTCTGCAGCAAAAAAGAAAAATACTGCAAAGGTCAAGACAGAGCTTCTAAGACAGAGATGCTTGGGACCCGGGAATCACGATCAGCAGGATGTGTCTCTATTGGCCCAAACCTAGGATAGTTTGATACCATTCTGACAGCAAATCTCTCACATGTGGCAGTGTTTAAAAGTTTCTGGCACCCCGTGGGAAGCAGGAAATGCCAAATGCTGTGAGTGGATGAGGTTTCAAATCTGATCTGGGTTATAGACCAGGGTCCAGATAGCCTGGATTATCAATTCATCTGTTTCAGAGTCTCACACTGGCCTAAACCTTCTAACACCTGCAGTTTTGTTATCAGACGGTATATCCGCTCCCTCCTCAGTATGCCATGCAGTCACGTTTTTTCTAACCAAAAACTGTTTGTAAATTTTCCAAAAACTATTCAACTATTTTGGGTATTTCCCCCAACTATTTATGACTTTCAGAGTAAAAAAAATTACAGTTTCCTGTTGACCTACGTCATGTGACCTGCCCTCACTTCCCAGCTTAGAAGATAGAGCTGCAGCTGAAACATTAGTCGTTAAATTTTATGTCTATGGCTACGTTCACACAGCTGCTCCTCACACTCCACACACATTTTCCTTTCCCTGCCCTCCCCAACCGTCCAGACTAATATTCACATGCAGCAGTCGGACTTTGGTCTGAACGGTCACGGCCCCAAAGTGACCCGGATGTGCAGAGGGAGAAGATGGACGTCACAGCAACTCTGTTTACGGAAGCAATGATGAATCTCCATAATAATATGACCACATCATAAGATGAAGAACTGTAAGAGACATCAGAGCACAACTGCTTACGCAGGCCTGCGCCTGATGCGATGAGCAATGGGAGCTGGGAACTGACATAAAAGCATAAAAGTCAGATTTCAAAATGATAGTTTTTATAGAAAAAGAAGACTAATTGTCCATCTTCAGGCACCTCGAAAACTATCTGAAACTTATTCGATTTAGAACACTATATAAAAGTAGTACAAATATTTTTTTTCCAGGTCAGAAGATCAGAATTGGACCCTTCAGTCTGCTTTATGATGGTAGAATAAGGTTCAAACGTGTAAAAAAAAAAATAGATACAATTTGGGTTGGACTTTTCCTGCAGTGCGAATTTTGCTGATAAAGCAGAAAAAAAAAAACTTTTTTTCCTTCGCTTAATGCATTGAAACACGTAACATGCTAAATTATCAAGCTGTATTAAACAGACAAGAAAACAGCAGATGGTCTCTAATACTAACTGTATCCCTAAAGTATACCTACGCTTCGAACATTTTTTAATATTTCACATTTAAATAAGAAATGTCAACATATTTTATTGTGTTTTATTGTGATTTTGGGCCATAAATCAACACAAAGCAAATTATTGGAAATGAGATGCTTTTGATATAGTATATACAAAAAATCTATATTTGTATGCAGCCCCCTTTAATTAAAATCACTCAGTAAAATCCTCTGCAACTTACTAGAAGCCTCTTAATTAACCCAACTGTTATAGCTGCAGCTGTTTAGTGGTGGTTTGTGCAGCATTAAGTCCAAACAGATATAAATAATCCAAGTTTTGAACATCTTTCAGATTTCTGATCATTACCCTAGAAGGGAATAAATATGACAAAGCTGCAGCACATTAAGCAGAGAAGCAGCCAAGAGGCCCATGGTAACTCTGGAGGAGCTGCAGGGACCACAGCCAAGTGGGAAAATCTGATACAAGGATAACTATTAGCACTGCAGACCAAACCTCTGTAACCTGACTCCGCCAGATGGATTTGCTCCGCATATCCATCTGGAAACCTTCCGTTGAAGTAATTTTGGGAAGGGGCGAAAATACTG